AATATATGACAAAGCGCAGCAATGCAAGGCCTAGAACCAAACAGCCCCTTCATGTTAAACCGGAGACACTGCAATTAGAGCATCTACACTCGTCTTGAGTATATAGTGCATGTATATTTGTATTTTCGGCCCACCTCCTTTTATCTTGTATAGTTGAGGTTGTGGTCCACCTTATACATTATATATACGTGTGCTTGCACCCAATCAATACATCGAGAGTTGTATCCTATTCCTCTGCATGTTTTTTCTGTTAAGGACGTCCGAACCAGGATGGTACCTCACCGATGTGATAATCCCGACGACTTATACCCTGTCCAGCCGCCGTCCTCTACTCCTGGTGCACCACGGGCTCTCTCTCTCCGTCAATGTTGATCTTTGGCATGCTTGCCTTGGGCATCCTAGCTCCACTTCGCTTCGTCAAATAATGAGGGTTTTTTCTTTTCCATGTAATAAAACAGATGCTCATACTTATGAAGCATGTTGTCTTGACAAACATGTTCGCCTTCCTTTTAGTTCGTCATCCACATTTGTGTCTTTCCCGTTTGAGTTGATTCATTGTAATGTATGGGCCTCTCCAGTTTCGAGTAATTCAGGTTTTCTTTATTATCTTGTCATATTGGATGATTATTCACATTTTGTGTGGACGTTTCCTCTCCGTAGGAAATCCGATGTTCCCGCCACCTCATCTCCTTCTACTCCTACGTCTCTACACAATTTGGTCGTCCCATACCCACTCTTCAAACCGACAACGGGAAAGAAATTGACAACCTCACCATTCGCACCCTCCTTTCCACACATGGCATGGTGTTTCGTCTCACTTGTCCATACACCACATAGCAAAATGACCGCTCTGAACGCATCCTTCGCACTCTCAATGAGTGTGTGAGCACTCTCCATTTCCATGCTCATATGTGAAGGAAATATGCCCTAGAGGCAATAATAAAGTTGTTATTTTATATTTCATTATTCATGATAAAGGTTTATTATTCATGCTAGAATTATATTGATCGGAAACTTAAATACATATATGAATACATAAACAAATACCGTGTCCCTAGTAAGCCTCTACTAGACTAGCTCGTTGATCAAAGATGGTTAAGGTTTCCTAACCATACACATGTGTTGTCATTTGATAACGAGATCACATCCGTCAGCTTAGCATATTGATCGTTCAGTTTATTGTTATTGATTTCTTGATGACAAATACCTATTCCTTCGACTATGAGATTATGCAACTCCCGAATACCGGAGGAATATCTTGTGTGCTATCAAATGTCACAACGTAACTAGGTGATCATAAAGATGCTCTACAGGTATCTCCGAAGGTGTTTGTTGAGTTGGCATAGATCGAGATTAGGATTTGTCACTCCGAGTATCAGAGAGGTATCTCTGGGCCCTCTCGGTAATACACATCATAAGAAGTTGCTACTTCTTGAGCTTGCGTTGGTTTTTCCCTTGAAGAGGAAAGGGTGATGCAGCAAATTAGAGTTAAGTATTTCCCTCAGTTAGAGAACCAAGGTATCAATCCAGTAGGAGGTACAAGCAAGTCCCTAATCTATGCACCTGCACAAACAATCAAACACTTGCACCCAACGCGATAAAGGGGTCGTCAATCCTTTCACGGTCAATTGCAAAGGTGAGATCTGATAGAGATAGATAAAACAAAAGGTAACTATTTTGGGGGGGGGGTTTGGTTTATAGATCTGAAAATAAAAGATTGCAAAATAGTAGATCAGAAAGCAAATATGATAGAAAATAGACCCGGGAGCCATAGGTTTCACTAGAGGCTTCTCTCATGAAGGCAAATAATATAGTGGGTGAACAAATTACTGTCGAGCAATTAATAAAAAAAGCGCAAAGTTATGACGATATCCAAGGCAATGATTATGCATATAGACATCACGTCCGTGTCAAGTAGATCGACTTCTGCCTGCATCTACTACTATTACTCCACACATCGACCACTATCCAGCATACATCTAGAGTATTAAGTTCATAAAGAACGGAGTAACGCCTTAAGTAAGATGACATGATGTAGAGGAATTAACTCAAGCAATATGATGAAAACCCAACCTTTTTATCCTCGATGGCAACAATTCAATACGTGTCTCACCACTCCTACTTTGTCACAGGGTGAAATCACGCAAGATTGAACCCAAAGCTAAGCACCTCTTCCATTGCAAGAAAAACCAATTTAGTTGGACAAACCAAACCGATAATTCGAAGAGAAATACAAAGATATCAAATCATGCATATAAGAATTCAGAGAAGATTCAATTAATATTCATAGATAAGATGATCATAAATCCACAATTCATCGGATCTCGACAAACACACCGCAAAAGAATATTACATCGGATAGATCTCCAGGAATATTGAGGAGAACGTGTTATTGAGAATCAAGGAGGGAGAATAAGCCATCTAGCTACTAGCTATGGACCCGGAGGTCTGAGGTAAACTACTCACGCTTCATTGGAAGGGTAATAGGGTTGATGTAGATGCCCTCCGTGATCGAATCCTCCTCCTGCAGAGTACCGAAAAAGGCCTCCAAATGAGATCTAACGAGGTCAGAGACCTGCGGTAGTGGAAAAGTATTTTCGTGGCTCCCTCTGAGGGTTCTGGAATATATGTGAATATATAGGACAAAGAGGTAGGTCAGGGGACTCCCGAGGGGGCCACAAGGCAGCCCCCCCCCTAGAGCGCGCCTCCACCCTTGCTGCCGCCTCGTGGGTCTTCTGGCTTGGACTTCAAGTCCTCTGGGTGTCTTCTGGTCCAAGAAAAATCATCGTAAAGTTTTATTCCGTTTGGACTCCGTTTGATATTTTTTTTCTGCGAAACTCAAAAAGAAGGAAAAAACAGAAACTGACACTGGGATCTATGTTAATAGGTTAGTCCCAAAAATAATATAAAATAACATAATAATGCATATAAAACATCCAAAACAAATAATATAATAGCATGGAACAATAAAAAATTATAAATACGTTGGAGACGTATCAGAAGCCTTGCAAACAAAGTGACTAAGGATTTAGTTGCAAGATGATGTATTACGGAACGAGTAAAGAGACTTGCCGGTAACAGGATTGAACTACATATGAAGATACTACGATCGAATCTCGGGCAAGTAACATACCGATTGACAAAGAGAATTATGCATGTTGTCATAACGGTTCGCCGATAAAGATCTTCGTAGAATATGTGGAATCCAATATGAACATCCAGGTTCCGCTATTGGTTATTGACCGGAGAGGTGTCTTGGTCATGTCTACATAGTTCTCGAACCCGTAGGGTCCGCACGCTTAACGTTCGTCGACAATATAGTGTTATATGAGTTATATGATTTGGTGACTGAATGTTGTTCAGAGTCCCGGATGAGATCACAGACATGACGAGGAGTCTCGAAATGGTCGAGAGGTAAAGATTGATATATATAGGACGATGCTATTCGGACACCGGAAGAGTTTCGGAGTGAACCGGGTAACCATCGGGTCACCGAAAGGGGGAGGGGGTGTTGAGTATATAGTGCATGTATATTTGTATTTCCGGCCGACCTCCTTTTACCTTGTATAGTTGAGGTTGTGGCCCACCTTGTACATCATATATATGTGCGCTTGTACCCGATTAATACATGGAGAGTCGCATCCTATTCCTCTACAAGCCGGACGCTCCAAATCCGCCTCAAACGTCTTGGTGGACGACCCGGTCACTGATCAGTCACGAAAATTCGACCTAGATGGGCTCCTCAAACTTGTCTCAAACGTTCGGGCTGACTGGCAGCCCGCATATCCAGCCCAAATATGGGACGAATATGGGGGCGCCCGGGCACGTCCTCAGACCCCGTTGCAGGTCGAAGTGGTCCCACCTGCAGCGACAGAAACTCCTTCCTCTCTCATCGGCGCACCCAAATTTTAGTCCCACATCACCACGCGAGGCGGATGCCAACCGACTTAAATAGCCGCACCTGCGGATGGCGGCATGCTCCTCTGTTGTTGTGTAGGTCTATCAATTCTCGCTGTTTGAACAAGATAACATGACACTAGACTGCATTTCATCAACTGATAATTGTTCATCGAGTGTCAAGTTCGTCTCGTTCATGTACATTGATGCCCCTACTACAATGAGAGTAGATTTTTATTTTGTTCATCGATTTTTATCGACAGATTGTGGTTCATAAAAAATAGTATTGACATGAATGGTTCTCTTGTCAAGGAGATAGACCCTGACTATGAATCTATCTTCTTAACAAAGGATGCAATGATGTCAGAAGCTTATCGCTTTTGGACAACCCGGCTATTTAAGTCGGTCGACTAGTTTTTCACACGGCAAGGTGTGACTAATACAAGTGTGAAAATCTTAAGTATGAGCAATTTTTGTATGTTTTGACGGTCCAGCCGGCCCAAGACGGACGGAATGATCGTTGTGCATGGCTCATGTAATAAATGTTCTAAAAATAGTGTATGTGGTTGTAAATGGTAAAATTTGAGGCCCGCCCGCGTCCGCGGACAGATCATTTCGAATGCATATTTCTCTGGAGAAATATCGATCGACCAGCTGATACGGGGGAGATTTTCTTGAGGTGCTAAAACCCACGTCTGGCTGGCTGGCGCCACCTCAGAATGCTCCTCCGAAAAGGGAATGTCAACATCTCGGAGAAAAATAAGGCCAGGAAGTGACATGCCAGATGAAGCATGTATAAGCTAGCTAGCAGCACCTCATCAGCCACGCTACAAAGCCTTGGGACTTGCGCCACCCCCTTCAAATCGCTCCAATAAGCAAGCCGAGCTACTAGTAGTAGCTCCACACTGCCACTCACTGTGTGACACCGCTTCTTCCATCGCCAGTAGCAGCGGCCACCACCACCGCTTCAAGTGCAAGGCCTCTCGCCTACATCTCTCGCACTCTCTCTCGGTCATCAGCTCCTCATCACTCTGCCTCTTGCAGTCTCGGCACCCGCATCGGCTTCGCCGCTCACTCCCGACCTCCATTCCTAAGCAAGGAAGATGAAGGTAAAGGCTCATGCCATCGCCCACCGATGCGATCTTTATTTTGCAGTAGGTTTCATGTGCTTGAAAAGGTGCGGATGGGTGGTTGACTGGTGATGGCGGAACCTCTGCTTGCGTGGTGGCGCTATGGTAATGTGACCAACCTCTGTTTTTCTTGCAGATTTTCAGCTGGATGGCGAACAAGATCAGCGGGAAGCAGGAGGCCAGCCGCTTCCCGGCCAGTTCCTCCGGGCCTTCTCGTGAGTGCGCTTGGGAAGAACTTCCGCTTTCTTGTTCATCAAATAAGTACTGTGTGCTATAGACTAGTCCAGAAGAACGACCACCATTTCCTTTAACCGCTTGAAAACATGAGGAAAAAGACAGTATCTTTGTTCTCTGCTTTTACTCCTTGAAAAATGGTTACATCTTTGCTCCGAAGTTTCACCTGCGTCGGTTAGCTCCGGTCATCAAAGTTATTTTTGCTTCCTCGGCCCAAAATAAAATAAAATTGATGAAGTAATTTTGCTTGTCCCTCCCCCTGCTGGTCTTTTTTTTTAATGATTCAAGGATCTCTAATTTTCCGCACTCCGTTGGTCTTTAGATCTAGTAATGGTCTAGCGATGAAGCTAACTTTGATGACTATAATGCCAGTGTACTTAGTTTAGTGACATTCCCTGACTTGTTCTCCATTATTTTCTATCCCTAACTCTGTTTCGTGCTCTCCTATTCCGTACAACTAGTCGGCATGAATCAAAGTCTCAACTAATGGAAGCAAATACAATTTTTTCGAGGAAACAAAGCAAATATATTTTTGTTTCTGCATACTTTGATTTTCTCGTGTTTGTCGTTCTTTATGTAAAAAATGTCATGATTACTTTACAGCCCCAACTCTCAGCCTGTCAACAAACATAATGTCATTTATTCTGGGTAGAATCCTGACCTTGGATGGTTTTGTTCTATTGATCTGAAGTCAACTAATCCCGTCTGAAGTTACACTGGTATTATCATAAGTCAGGCTGTCAACTAAGCCTGTTAACAAACAGAGCTCATATTGGAGAATGGATGCATTCTTTAACTATTATATATGTGATCAAGCGATTGCCGACATATGAAAACGGAAAGAGAACATCAGGATGTGGAGTAAGCATGGGCAAAAACATATATCTAACCAGTGATAAGCTGATGAGAACGACTGGGGTTTAAGAATTTTAAACTTAGTGGTCCATGGTCCGGACATCCAATTTAAGCTAGTGTGAACTTAGGACCATACCTTTATATCTTTTCATGGAACTAGCAACTTAATTTAGTTCTGGTGTGCAGGTTCTAAAGTGCCGGACTGTCGCAACGACGAGTTCAGCGATTGGCCCCAATCATTGCTTGCCATTGGGACATTTGGAAATAAGCAGATAGAGGAGGTAGCACAAGTGCAGGATGCTTCCGAGGATGGGCAGTCCATGCAAGATGCCATCAAGTTTACAGAGGAGGAAGTAGACAAAATACAGAAAGAGTTTGCAATGATACTAGCAAGCAAAGACCAAACGGAAACTCATGACCCGCACGATGATGACCAGGTAGCTTCACACAAAAATGTCGATGAGAGCATAAATGAGAAGCACAGGGACCAGCTGTTTAACAAGATCGTCATAAGTAAGGCAAAAGATTCACCGGGGAAGAAAGCAAGTACACTCAAGCCGAGATCAGTTGCTTCGCTCCTCAAACTACTCATGCCTAAGGGTGGCTTTGCCTCTGCTGTTCCAGATCCAAGGAACTCTTTCCCTCAATCAAGAATGGAAAAGGTACACTTACATTCTTATGTACATTTGTAGTTAATTATACCTGTTGACTCTTGAGTAGTATCTTATATATGATTTTCTTCCCATTTCAGCTGCTCAAGGCAATACTTCAGAAGAAAATACATCCGCAAAATTCTTCGGCGCTCGTACCTAGGAGACATTTGGACTGGAAGCCAGATGAGCAAGAGATCAATGAATGCCTTGAGGATGCACTCCGTGATCTAGACGATGATGGCGCAAAATGGGTCAAAACTGATTCAGACTGTAAGTTGCATACTTTGATCCCGAACAAATGACGTTATCATGCACTGAACATCTCTTTATGCACTGATTCCTTTGAAGAAACTCAGTATGTTATTTTCATTCTTTGCAGTTATTGTGCTAGAAATGTAAACATGGGTGAATACATTTGTTCAATGAGGCCAGGTGTGCATCTTTTTTCTCAACTCACAGCTATCAGGAGAACTCATGGCTAATATTTATCCTTTATTTTGAGGGTTGTGCTTGCAATTTGATTGATTACAATGTGCAGGTTCCAAAGGTCTTGGCAAGCTAGGGATCCGCGGTGTTATGATATATATATATAGAGGTGTGAGATATAGTCATCAATGAAGCTATGAACTATGATGTAATGCCCCTCTGTTTCTCACATAAATCATTTGTAATTTGGGTTACTTGGATTATGATAAGAAACTCGCCGGGACAAGCCATTCCTCATGTCTCTGTTTTTCTCTTGTCCTTCAGACTGTATATTACAAGGTCTGTTACCATTCACATATGAACAGTGATGATGGATATTTCTGATCCTCCTTGAATGAATTTAATTATGATATAGTTGTTGTTTTATCACATATATTGTCTACTTAATTTAGATCAGCTTGCAACTTGTGCCTAGTAGATCTGGGTTTCACGCCAGATAGTTAAGAGCCCCTTTGATCTGTAGGATTTGAAGAACCCAGTAACAAAATAAATACAAGATTGTAAAGAAAAAATGCCCTTTTCAACCATGCACGATTAGAAAACATAAAAATTTGCACTGAAACATGTTTGAGCTACACGAACGTTCCATGTTGAAACCTGAACTACTGTGCTTGATTTGACGACAACTGAACGTTGAAACCATCTATGTTAAACTTGAACTTCTGAAACCATCTTGAGAAAGCTATGAATATGAAATCAATCCTTTGTCTTTTCGGAGGTGGGGGCTCTTCCGTTTACGTACCTCGGGATACACATCCATCACCGCAAACTCACCAACAAGGAGTGAAAAATAATTGAAAACCAGTTCGAAAAGAAGCTCGGTAGTTAAAAGGGTAAACTCATGTCTTATGGAGGACGGTTAACTTTAGGAATCTAATAACTCCCGAACGTTCGGATTTTGAGCATTTCGTCCCAAACATTTTTACATGGCAACTTTAGTTCATAGGGGATGACAACTTTAGTTGACAGGGGATGGCAACTTTGTCCTTTTTCGTTTTTTTGTCAGAAAATTGCCGTGTTTCCCTAATCTCACGTAAACTAAACTTGCCATCTAAATCGTTCGGGTTGCCATGCTTAACTCCCGAACGTTCGGGAGTTATCATTACCGTAACTTTAACCAATGCTGTTCTTACCGGTCTACCCATGTTCATGCTCTCCTTTTTGAGATACCCAAAGGGGTGTTGAAAAGACCAGATTTAATTGATCGAGAGTCTCCATATCTTTTTTTATGTTCTATTTTTTATTGCATCAACTAAAAAAATCCACACTCAATTTGAGGGACTAAAGCACAAATTTGAGATAATATTGCACTACAAAGCGGTCACATAGGTGTAGAAAAGTCAATTAGTGACACTTATTTTTTTACTAAATTGATGATTTTTAACTTCTTGGGAGAACCATTAGTTGCTCCTCACCTCAACAACTGTTAATGCAGTGCGCGGGGCACCTGCGTATGTGATAAGTCCACTCTTTGTCTAGGCATGGCCAGTGACGGTCTGGCAACTTCATCTTCATCCCATTCTTGCCTGTCATCGTCGAGGTCGGGGACGAAATTTTCAAGGGGGCAAAGCCCAATATGGCGCGATTCATCTCGGCGACTGTCATCTTCATGTTGAATGTGCGACATCTGATATGCTGCCTCTCCAACGCCGAATCCACCTGTTTCTCCTCGTAATGGAGCCCCACGATGCGGTCCCTTTGGGCCTTTAACGCCTTTCCTGCGGCGGTGTGATTGAAGGTTTTACCGGGGCAAACGACAAAGGTATAGGCTGCATAGCGCTCATCCCATGCCTCCTTTGCAGCGAGGCGATGGGTAGCACGTGATGGCCGGCATGGGTGAGCTCTTTCCTCCTTCTCATACGGGATCTACATGTAGTCGTGCTGGATCTCCCATTCAATGGAGTGGATATTCCACTCAATGGAGTGTGTTTTGGGTTTTCAGTCCGGGTAGTCATCGAGCGCAGGATCCTCTTGCACGGCCCCCATCGCATAATCGCCCCCCTCCTCCTCATGTTCCTCATCCACTATCTGCTCCTCCTCCTCGGAGAGCGGCACCCAGTCCGGCCGCATGGGAAGCGGCATGCCGATAGGGAGGAAGAAAGTAAAGGTTGTGAGCTATTTGGCCATGGCGGCAACCTTTCCAAAGCCGCACTGGCCGGCGGAAAACATAGAGAGCACGAAAAAAATGTGAAAGGAAACATGGTAGGAGTGGTCGGGGCAGTTGGCATGCGGCGGTTGCCATTAATTGGCACACTTCCCGCTGGCATGGCCGTATGGCCGTCAACGCCAATTGGCTGGGAGATGAGATGGGCCGCCCGGAAGGCTGAGGGAGAACCTCCCTCCTGCACGAGCGGTTGGCGGATGGTGTGTGCTCCAAACCAACGCCCATAGGCCATAGCCCCTAAAGATGAAGGCCTGAGGGCTCGATATGGAGCGCCCTCCAAAATTATGGCGACTCAGAGCCAGATGATGACTCTGCTAGATGGTCTTTTTGATTAAATTTGTCATTTTAGTGATTATATCATGCCAATCGGACTGATCCGACGACTCGGCTAGAGTTGCTCTACCTAAACTCTATTAAAGTTTTTTTTTCTAAAACAAGACTCTTACAAAAAATTAAAGCAGGAGTATTAGGGTTTAGCTTGTCTGACAGGAAGCACACCTGCGTGGCCGCGTTGCGTCGCAGATCTTCCTTCAAATCCCCGATCAAGTTTCTTCCCTGGAGTGGCGATATGTCCCGATTGGAGCTTGCGCGCGGACGCGCCTTCCGTCGGCAAGATTCTCCAGAGCTCCCCGCCGTTCCGCTCGCCGGCCATGCCGGGTGGTCGGGCAAGGAAATTCCAGGTCAATGTCTGCTGCCACAGGAAGCATGGAGCGACAGCGCCGACGGCTATGGACGGACATGACGGTGTGTTGCGGATGGCCAATTTCTCCAACTCGGCTACAGGGAGGGGAGGAGAGAGACGTGCGGCCGGCCGCTAGCCCGCTATCACGTCTCTGCTGAGCATCGCTGTATCGGCACGACTGACGGAGATGCAGGAAGCTCGGCACGACAGGGACTAGACTAGGCCTACCCGAACATGAGTTTGCCTGCCTTCTCGTCAAATCGACATCCTTTCATCTGAAATTCTGGACAGCAGAGTATAAACATTGCTTCGTGGTTTCGAGAGGCGGATTTGGATATATTATTCCTGTTTAGCTTGAATCCTTGATAGTATAACATATATGTCTGCTTTTTTTTTGAGGAAAACATATATGTCTGCTTCGTGCTACATACATCCAAGGTTTGTTCTTGGACCCTAATATGTGGAACAGTCACTGGGAACAGCGGCGGAGCGAGGAAAATGAAATGAGGGGGGCCAAGTGCTGCTAATCCTCATTGGGGAAGGCCGGTGCATCAAAATACACCAATTTAGTGGCAAATAATGACCTTTTCATATGCATATTAGGCTTCGATGATAAATGTTAGGGGGGGGGGGCCAGGGCCCCTGCTGGTCCCCCCTGTCTCCGCCACTGACTGGGAACAGCTCCCATCGACCGATTTCATTCGGCAGCTCCACTGTTGTGGGAAGCGACTTATACTACTAGTGTATGTCTATGTTAGAGCGTCTACATCCGGACGCCTCAAACTTGTCTCAAACGTCCAGGCAGCCCGCCCGGTCACTGACGAGTCACAAAAATTCGACCCAGACGGACGCAACGGATCTCAAACGTCCGAGCTAATCGGCACCACTCATATCCAGCTCAAATATGGAGCGAAAATAGGGCCGCTCGGGCGCGTTCGCCATGTCCGACCCGACCCACGCAGGCCCACCCGACCCCGCATATTTGTTTCCGTCCGCTCGTCGGACCAAACCCTAGCCACTTCACACTCCACTTCCCTCCGTCACCCAAGCTCACCTCCGGCGATTCCTGGCTGTCACCGGCATGGCAGGCAGCGGAACCGCGTCCTTCAGAACCATCAACCCCGAGCTCATCACACACAGCCAAGAGGAGATGGCCGTCCGGTTTGCGCTCCGCCGCTCCAGGGAGGAGGCCCGTGCCGGCAGCGCTCAGACTCCTTCTGTCGGGAATCCAGTGCGTCCTCCCAAATGGCGCATGGATTCGGCGGTGCCTCGCCAGAGGTGGTGCAGTTCGTCTGGCGTCCGAATGCGGTGGCAGACGCGCAACCCCTCTGTTGGCGCACTGAGCATTGAGACGCACCATGGGTCTCGTCCGACGAGAACATGGCACGGCGTGCCCGCCCGTGCGAGGTAGCGGGAGCAAGACATGGCGGCAGCCCTCAGGGCGGTGGACGTCGGCGAGGTGGAGTCGCATTCTCCGGCGCCCCGTATGGTGCAGCAGTCCGGACGACGCAACCACATCGTGGTGGATGTCTCCGACTCGTCTCAGGACGGATCCATCATCAATCTGACGTCCACCGGCACCGTTTAGAATACGGGCTCCCACGAGGAAGAGTAGGGCATGGGAGAAGGCGGCGCCTTGAGTCCCATGAGCCAGTTCGTGTCCCATGCCCTACTCTACCTTTTCGGTGACCGGATCAACACTCTGAGGGGCACAGCCGGCCGCCGGACATGGACACGGCGGAGCCGGACGAGTTCTGCTTAAAGATCGCTGCATTGCATGTAATAATATGGATGTGAGGTTTCTAATTGAGGCATCCGGATGTGGAATGCATTATTTGAGGCGTGATCGGTCACTATCCGCAGACGCGTCCGAGCACGTTTGAAGGGTCAGATTTGCCAGGTCCGGCTGTAGATGCTCTTATTATCTTCATAGTGTATAGTAACATATGTGTGGTATCATATAAGCTATT